GATGTTATTCAATATAGGAGTGGAAAAAATCGTGAAGAGTCGTGTGACAGCCTGGACATTTTGGATCCAAGCTTTTGAAAGTAAGTGAAAATTAAACGTGTTCGTAATTTCTTCTACCGAAATTAGTAAATAATCTTTTTGTATGAAATATTTTGTTTAATCAAATTAATGAATTTGTAAGTTTAATAAAATAAAAACTTTCTTTTTTGTTGTTTTTTTTTACAAAAAAAATAAATTTTAGTAAATTTTCAATAACTTTGAATGATGAATGATTTGTTGAGAATAACTTTTTCAAAGAAGTTCAATGTTTTAGATAAAAGAATCAGTAAATGTTTGTCGCACAAAGTTGATTTATAGAGAAATTTTATGTATAAATAAATATTTAATAGATTGAGTTTGATTAAATTCTAATCTTAAAGTTTATAAATTGTCCGATACGTATAAAAAAAATTTTTTTTTGTTGTATCCTAATTGTGATAGCGTATTTATACTTTTCGGTACACTTTATAAAAATGATTTATTTTATTTCTATGTTAGATTGTTTTATTTTGATCCTTGTCTAAGCGTCTTCTTTTATTTTAACACCCATACGTATTTTGTAGACAAACCCCATATTATAAGAACAAACAATTAGTATTCATAGAAAAATTTCATCTATTGCAAACATCACACGTTACATACATACAATGAAGTTATAATCGATAAATATCTACTTTCTATCGAAGTACAGATATAATAATCACTTGAAATATACACTGGTGCTAAAATGTTAGTTAACAATGTGCTCTTATTCAGTTATAATGTTCACAATAAGATTAATTTATTAAATTAAAGTAAAACATTCATATTACAAAAGGTTACCTTCCTAGAAATATAAATTTAACACTTGAAAATACAAAATAATGCAATTTAAAAAATAATTTTTTGGCTTTCAGTTACTACACCTATTATACATTGAATATATAAATTCTAAGTTTATTATGTAATTGAGAATTTGTTTCATTTAATTTTTAACAAATAATATATTATACGTTTAAAACATTCATACAGTAATAATTTATTATATCAAGGTCAACTTAAAAAGACTTCTATTTTAAAATTACAATCAAATAAAATAATGTTTTTGCATCGCCTAAAGATTTGTGTCACAATTTTCGCAATTATAATGAATTTGTGCTAATGCACATTATACTAAATAATTTGTAAATAGACTTCCTCAATTATATTGATTTTGATAAAACCATCATGCAAGAAAATACTAAATATTTAGGAATGAATTAGCATAATCTTAATTAACCATTTTCTTTAAATATAAAAGTTGTTAGAAAAGTTTTCACGAAGCTTTAATTACTAATTCAACAACTTTGTGAATAATGTTACAAAAAATTATTATTTATTTTTTACTTTAATTCTATATCATTGTGAATTTTTCTTTTCCTTCCTGTTATACTAGTTAAAGGTCTTTTCAATAAAGTTTCAAGTGAAGAACTCAGAAATGAAAAAGGCTGAGATGATTGTTTTTTTCCTGCATTCAAGTCTTTTTCTTTCATCATGCTACCTGTGACGTTTTTCGATATGTTATTAGTGATATTTTTACTGATTTTATCGCAAATATCTTTTGAAATATTTTTGGGCAATTTGCAGGGAGGTGTTTCAACTCCTTCAGGTGACTTCCGTTTTCTATCGCCATGGTGTAACAAAATGGTCGGTGTCCTTGGAAGACCAGTCCGAGGCAAGATGTGGCCTGTATATGACCGAGAAGTTGGAACAGTTGTAGAAATTGGATGAGAAGGAGGAATAGGGGATAATCTGCTTTTCGCCACAAGTTCTTCGCGAGCACGGACTAAATCTGCTGTAAGATCGGAGAACTTCTCTTCCCATTCGCCCATGTGTCTTTTCATCTCCCCAATAACAGCTTCGGTCTCCTGTATTTTCACGGTCTGCTCCTGAATTTTCTTCTCCTGCTCCTTCAGCTTGTTAGTTTGTGCTTTAATACGACTATTTTGAGTCTTAATCTGTGGATTTATATCAAAATCACTTATCTTATGTGAGGGATAGAAGCAGAAATAATTTGCTCAAAAAAAGTAGGTATGTATTAAAAGAGAGAAGATTAACTCTTTTACTATTAGATTTTTTTTAGACGGTGATGACCAAAAAAAGAAAAACCCTAATTCACGAAGAAATTAAAGGAATTAAAAGTGGGTAAGTTTACAAATCACTAACCTTTTGAAATAGTTTAACAATTTGTTGCCGCATTAAGACAGTAGTCTGCTTGTTACTTTTGTTCTGTCTTCTGATTTTGCGCATTTCGTCAGTTACTAGTTTATTCAGGATCAAAAGAGGCTGACGAGATGAGCATTGCTCTCCCACTGGCAGCACTAAAAAATTGACGTCTTTAGGAAATAATAGTAACTGCAAATGTAAAATAACAAACCCGGAGGTGAATCAATATGTGATTTGAATGTTGGCAGTATGTGTTCGTCAAAATGCTCCATAGCCATGCTGCTAATATCTCGAAGTTCTTGTAAAAATTCGTGACTCCGAGGTGCCGATCCAGTGCTTTCTATAAGTCTCAATATACGATCAATCTCATCAAGTATCTGTAATGAAATGTTATATAAGTTTAGAAAAGAATTCTGCAAAAAAATGTGACAGTACCTTTCCTGGTATAAAGCAACATTTGTTAGTTTCGATATATTTTATGAAAGTCATATTTAGCATGCTTATGCGTGTCTCTACGGCGGATAATATGTCGCAATGTCTTGCCAACGGGTGATTTCGTCTTTCTGATTCTCTTCTTGGCAACAAGGATTTTAGCTTTTTGTATATGCCGCTGTGTCTTTTTTCCATTTGGTAAAACCCTCTTGTCAGCATCTGACTGCATGTTTGATTGAATTTTCTACACACCTTTAAAAAAATTGTACTTTACAATAAAAATTATGAGAATATGACAGAATGAACTGAACATTAGACATATTTCCTTAGGAAATTAGAAATTATCAAACTAATGAATTGATAAAAACCTACCTATATGCTATATTACTTTTACATTGAAAACCAAATTCTCTACCTATTTTTTTATCTATTCTTTGATGCAGAATAAAATAGAAGGAAACGGAAAACTAATAGATAATTTTAAGTATAAAATCGAATTTAGGTTCAAAACACTAAAAAATAAAAAATCAACTTCTGCAGAAAATGATAAAGTAACTTTTATTTTCAGGTCATTTAATAAAGTTGAAATAGTAATATTGTATTGTATATACATCTGATATCAATACTTTTTATTAAGAGTAAACACGATATTTTATAAATTAAAATGTATAATTTGTTTTTTTATTTGTCTAAACATATATGAGACGATAATACGAAATATGTTTTTTATTGTATTAACTTTCATCTGGCACCATAAGATTCAAGTTTGCGTCACTTGTATTCGAATTAATAAATTTCTCTTCGTCGCCACGTATCGATAATTTTTCAGCTACAATCTCGGTCCTTTTTTCCTTCATCATACTAGTTTTTTCCCATTTTCCACTTCCACATTTTTTGCATGAAAACATTGGCACAATTTCAAGACTGACTGTCCTATTACTGCATTTTCCACACTTGAAAAATCTCTTAAACGAATCGAACACTCGAAGCGGATGCTTTTCATCTTTACAACGGTCCGTAGCGGAGAAACTTGTATATTTGCACTTCAGGCACTTGACTGCCTTGCATGGCACTTTGAAAGTGTTGAGCATCTTCTCTTCTAGTCGCTCTTTCATCTCAAGCTTCGAGAAGTATTTTTCCTGTTCTTCGTCGTCATGTTGTTCTAATAAATCTTTATGATTAGATGTAAGGGCCATCATTTTTTTAAATCGTTCGGAAGCAAAACTATTTTCCGGGTTATCTAAAGATATCTTCAATTTTTTTGATAATCCTTGAACATCCTATAATAAAAATATGTTTAGAATATAAAACACTTTACGGTTGAATGACTGATAAAGTATTTATTTAAAGATTTATGCTTATTCTAGCAGAAAGTTAATTTATTTTCATATTACTTGACCCTGCTGAAGTAGTAGTAATTGATTGAAAAAATACCGTTGCTCTTTCAAAGTTGTTAATTTGCAATAAGCCACTCTAATTTTTATCAAATAATTGATGAATAATAATTGAGTGATGATTAATAATTGTTATTTTACAGGTTGAATATTTTTCAAGAAATTTCTTCATCTCCAATTCCAACTAAAAAACACGAAAGTTCCAGTGCACTGTTTCAACACGAATCTTACAAAAAGTTCGGTAAGTCGTATTGTTTTTTCTCAATTGAGTCGTTCGCAAAACTTATTATCTTATAATAAATTAGAAAACATTTATGAGGTCATGAAATTTTGGAACACAAATTCAGTAAGAACTATAGAAATAGTTTTGATGTGAAAAAATGTAATGTGTAAAACGTATACTCTTCTACTTACTTGAACATCTAAAGATCGTTTTTTATTCCCAGTGTTCTTGCGATAATTTGGATCTTCTTTAGATAGAGGCCCATTCTTTTTGATATATGAAATGGCCTGTTGCTTAGCTTTATCGAATCGGCTAGGACACGGTTTAGGAGGATCCGTTCCTAGCACAATTTTGTTGCCAGTTAGTAGTGTCAGGGCAGCAGCATTCAACGTTGTTTTTTTCATTTTTTTAAAATCAACATTTAAGTCAATATATTCTGGCTGCTTCGTAGCAACTCCTTCGTCGGTAGCAGATTCGGAATCAACACCAAGTTTCTGCAACGTTTCTGTATCTTTTTGCTTGGAAGAAACAGAGTCGGGCTTTACCGTGTTTGGAGTCCAGCCCAACTTTTGCAACTGTAATAAATCGTTTTGCCGTTGATTTGCTGACGTATCAAAACTAACAGCCCGTCCTATGGCGATTGGTTTCTTATTTTTAATTAACGGATTCGCAGAGATCGTTATATTTTCGTTCAAGGCTTGTAATCTAAAATTATCTTTTACCACCTGTTTGGTATTCTTTTTTGCTGGTATGGCTGTGTAACTCTTTCCGGCATAGAACACCTCGTTTTTACCGAGTACTTTATTTCTCAGTGCGGTTAAACCCTTCGAGCCTGACTGAAATTCTGATCTTTTACAACAATTTTGATAGGCCTGCCTCAGATGGTAAATGCAAAAATCACTACTACTGACGTTTACAAATGATGAACAAGGGTCACCGTTATTCTTTTTGTGTTTACAAATCCCATAATCTTTTGATTGCCCTAGTATTAAAACTCTGTCGGCTGATACTATCTTCAGTGTTGCCTTCAAAAATTCATTGGATTATTTTTATATTTATACAATACTAGGAATATGGTTGAAAAATGTACAAGTTTAAGATCCAACAGTTGGTTAAATAACTGCTAAAGTAACACTTTTAATTCAGTTAAAATGAGGGATTGGGAAAACGAATAAAAGCATCACCGTAAAAGTAATAATAAATTGTAGTAAGAATAAAAATTAAAATTTTATTATACAATCTCTACACAAAATCCAATTTATGCTACAACGGAAACCCTCTATATTTTATTGTTATAACACATTATATTCACTAAAAAAATTTCTACATTACCTAACTCAAACTTATTAATTTTGATAAATTTACCAATAATAAGATTTAAGTACCTCTAATTTACTTAGAATACACCATTTCTGAAATTATTCTGTTTTCGCCTTCTTCATAAATATTTTTTAATGTTTGAATAACTTCTTCCATTCGCCTTCTATAATTTGGATCACGATCGCAAATACTTTCACAGAAGCTCCTTCTATCGTTATATAGAATATCAGACATATTTGTTTTAACCGAATTTATTTCTTCGATAGCTTCAGCAGACAGCTGACTTAGCTGATACCAAACCGATGATTGAAAAACAGCTTGCAATAACACATCATCGCATGTTTCAATCAATTCCTCAAATGAATAAATTGACTCTGGATCATGGCCATAAATTTCTAGTGTGTTTTTCATAACGCTGTAATAGTGAGTAAGAAAATCTTTTAAGTGTTTTTCTCTTGTCGCTTTGTTGGTACAATAAAAAATCACGAAAATAACATCATGAGCAGGGGGACAATACCGAACAATTTGCATATCGATTAAACGACAATCGACTGGATTATCATCAACGTACTTGATAAAAAAATTAGTGGGCCAAAGGTCACCGTGACAAATTGTATTTCGAAACTTTGTTGAAGGTGTTACTTTCGCAACAGACTTTTGCACTAAAGAAAGACAAAAGTTTTTAAACCCTTCATTATCACCAGAAGGGTAGAATTTATCTATTAAATGTAACAAGACATTTCTACCACAAAGCAGATATTTAATGAAAGGTTTTTCATTATTATTGCTATAGAAAGCTTCGCATAAACCAACGGGATATTTATCTTTCAAACACACTTTAGTTTCGCATTTTTCAGATAATTTTTCCTCGTATAATATACCGGCTGCGTGAAACTTTGCCAGAGTTTGCAATACGGTTTTTATTTCTTGTGGCGTAAAATATTTTCTTTGATCAGGAATAATAAAACCATGAGTTACCAAATCTTCAAACACTAAGCAATGATCAGGTCTTGTAAAATAACAAGGTGCAAAACAATCATCGATGACATTTATTCCATGTTTTTTCATACCTTTAACGCAAGTTGTATACGTAAATATTTCTTTAAAAAATACGTTAGAATCCACCAAAACATCAACGAAAGCACATTTTTCAGGATATAATTTTACGAATAGATTAACAACCTTAATTTCATTATTTTCATCTGTACGGATGTGAACTAGTAACTTGTTATGGTCCCCCAGAAATCCTTTCGACTTCCCAATGGAAACTGAATTAAAATTTTCAATTTTAAATTGAGTTGTGCCAAGTTTCTTTTTCATAATTTCATACATATCTTCGACAGTTAATCGTAGCGGCTTGTATAAAATATATTCTTGTAGGTCTGATAAGGAATCCAAAATTTGATTTTTATATTCAACGTTCAGTTTTATTAGGTTGTTAATATGATTATCTGCTGAATTGGAGACTAGGGATGAATGGATGCTTTCAATGTTTTGAATTTTAAGAAAAGCTGATATAAGTTTTACTTTTGGTAAATAGTTGTAAATTTCTTTTTCAAATTGATCAAGGGGAAGCAGTTCATTCAAAATAATTTTCTGTGTTTTACATTGCGTTTTTAGACAATTATAATAATATTCCAAGAGTTCATAAAGGTGTTTACTTCTCCAAATGCGTTCTGTTGTAGAATATATCAGAGTCAATACATTACAAACTGAAGGTGTACAAGCAACTGATCTGAACGTTTTTAATTTACACTCTACAGGTGTTCCATTTTCATATTTAAATAAAATATTATCCAATTTCAAATTTTCATTACAAATTACCCCATCGTTTTTAGTTTTTATCTCATTTTCCATTAACTCATTGAGTTGGTTTTTAAAAAATTCCTTTGTAGAACTGAATTCATGCAATTCATCAATCAAGCTGAGTAGCTGTTTTTGTTTAGTATCATGCCAGAGATTTATCCGTAATTCTTCAATATCCAAAAGAGATTCTTCGTTATTTCTATCATTTAATTCATCTGGTACTTCTCGGTTCCCGTTAATATTATGCTGAATTTTATTCTTAATGTTCGTCAAATGGAGTTTAGACAGACACTCAAGCACCACTTTTAAATGTGTTAAATCAAAAATCAAATTTCTGGACAATACAAACTGATCATTTTCAAAATCACTCTGTTTTGAATAGTCAACGGTAAAATCGTGATAACAAAGGTTGTGCATCTTTTGGTAGTTAATGTCGTATGACAAAGTTTCACTATCACGTCTTCTGAACATTTGCAGCAGAATGAGAAACGAAGTGTGTTTAAAGGCACTTATTAATTGCACACCAATTAAGCTTTGCACTTGCTAGTTGTGATAGATTCGTTAAATTCATTCTTTAAATAACACAGTTAAAAGCTAATATCGTATTTATAGCGTTACAATGCATTAAGTTTTCGTATTATCGACAAAAATTCTATTGTTCTCAAAAAGGTGCTTTAACATTGATATACAAATCAATGCTGCGAAATTTACTTTTTCTAATCTAGGAATAACAATACGTGCCTAGCAAAAAATAAACAGTTTTTAGCAATTGAATTTTTAATTGTACTGGATGTACAGGAAACCTTCCGCAATACTTGGACCGGTAGTAAATCTACTAAAATTCTCTCAAAACAACAACGTACGCATGACCTCAACATCAGTAAAAACTTCAACCTTTTGATTTGCGGGTTTTTGTTTTTTTTTTTAGTAAAGAGTACTGTTAAATTAAAACAATAACAATTGTGGTACTTCTTTTTTAGTTTTTACAATATGCCGACTCTAGCTTCAGTGAGTGATCAAGGGAAAAAAGAACTAAAATTTTATAACAAAAAAACGTGACTTGACTGGACTTACTGCTGCAACTGGTTAGTCTTTTTGGGCATCCTGTACATGAGTCGAAACATGATTATTTATACATTTTATCATTTAACAGAAAACATTTTTACGACACGCACGTCTACATAATTGAAAAAAAGAGGTGCTTGAGTTAGGTAGAAACAAATTTGTATTTAAACGCGGAATGGTTAATTACGATTATTTATAATGCAGATATTCGCGGACGAACGGTGTAGAGTAATTATCAAAAACTTTGCGTTATAATCGAACGCCAAAATAATTACTTTTGTTATCATGAAGGCGACAAATTTCAAATCCATGGTATAATCTTACAATTAGGTACATACTGATTTATCAGTTGGAAAAAAATTTAAACGACAAACAATTTATTTTACACTTTTTAACATTTTTTGCCCATCAATTTAGTGATAAAGTATTTTGATAGTATGAACCTATTTCTTCTAAAGAATATCGAGTGAAGTATTCATATGGGGTTTATTGCATCATGGCATTCTAGAAAGGTATTTGCAAAATATAGTTAGATAGGATTATCATAAAAAATAAAGAGAAATTATATTTACTGTAAATTTGTTGAATCTTAAACTTTTACATTAACCTGATTATTTTGAAAGAACAAATTTGTTTAGAATTAATTCAGATCATGTACTTATACCTGCCTTATCTTTTGAATTTTTAGTATTATCCATTATATCAGGATTTAATATTGCAATAACTGTACCGACAGTAGTCTTCCACAAATCTTGAAAAGCACTTCCGAATAAAAACACCGCTGCTGTCTCAAGATTACCTATAAGATCACTTAATGTCCACACCATAAATTTTTTACCATTTTGAGAAGTTTTAACTGGCCCTTTCCCCACAATTACCCCAGCAACAACCCAGTTTTTATCTTGTGTAGCCCTTAAAATGTAAGTTTGTAATCGAGATATTCCCACTGCGTTTTTATCGGCCATACGCACTTTTAACACAGTACTAGATATTAACGGTTTGACAACTTTAATACCAAAAAAATCAGTATAGTCATTTTCTTGTGGTTTTAGAACAGGCGCCTTTACATCTGTTTTCCATGAGACGTTTTCAGTTGCGTCGGCTGATCTTACAATAAATGAGGAAGACGAATTTCCAGCCTCATCTTTTTTTAGTAATCTTTTGATCTCTTGTTCGTATTTGCTCTCAAAGAAATTTGCAGAGTTCTCTTCATCATCAGAAAATCCTGAATAATTTGCAATACTTCCGCATCTTTTTCCGCTTGAATCATTCTTATCTAATTTTATAATGTTTTCTTCTGATAATATATCAAATGTTTTCAGTTGTCTTACTTTGGGACTTGTTTTGTTAACATTCTCATTCTCGTTCTCACAATTTTGACCTATTTCATTTCTCGCAAAGGCAATTAAGTTTTCTAATGAGTACTCAGACTCATCGTCCGCAGACATCTTAAATAATATTTTAAAATAAAAGCTTTTTTATAGAAAACCCTAGAAGAGTACACAAAGCACTTAACACCAAAAACAAGTTAACATAACCTAGCTCATAAAAGAGCGCGAAAATTTTATCTTATAAATTATTGACATGGCTACGCCTATTAATGACAACTTTTTATCAATCAGTAAATAATTAAAATTTAACTATATTTTAAAGCGCCAATATTACTGCCCAGGACGTTGGATGGCGGTTGGATATTTGCCAATTTGTTTTTACGCAAGTTCAATGACCTTTGCTCATTTAAGATTTTAAATATCTTATAATTCGCATAACAGGTAATTCATGATATCAAATGCGAATTTATTAATGTGAAAAAAATATATAACTATGTACTCACGATACGATTTTTTGCAATTTCGTCGTAACTTAGAAAGGAAAATATTTTTTCCAGAGCCACATTAGGCAGATTTAACAATGACACTGCAGCGCACATTTTGCAATTAATAAAATTAAAATAGTGCAATAAGCAGCATTAATCACTTAACACTAATACATAAATGTTAATTATTTAAGTAAAAACTTGACTTTTTCAGCAAACAAAGAAAATAAGGTTATGCACAATATGTATGAATAACATCTATATTTTTCTGTGGAATATATTATTTTCATAGATTGATCATTCTTTACGCATGCTCTACGATTATTTTGTTTGGAACTTGAATTGGCGTCATCATATAGCCGGTTAAATAGAAACATGTAGTGATAGCATTAATTTCATTTTAGCAAATAAGTGCCAATAATCTGTTACAAATATCTGCTAAACTTAAACGACATAGGGCAGTTATTATAATTGATGTTTCGTATATATTAATTAAAGCGTTAGTAGTTTTACAAATAAATTAAAATATTAGGTGTAATATAAAAATAGTACAAGTGATTATAATCTGAAACATTAATTTAATAAATTTAAAAGCAATTTTCTCCCGAATAACTAAGTATAACTTTTTGGTAGTTATTACTAATTTTTAATTTCAATAATTTTTAAAATTAAAACATTGGGATTGCTATTTAAAATTTTCATTTGGGCATAAGATTAATGCATTGTAAGACCTTAGTATGTTAAATTTCTAAACTCAAAACAACTTATTATAATGAAACGCTGAAAGAGATAAATTTGAAACGGTAACGAAAGCATAGTAAAGTGACATATCTCTATACAATTTAAAACATTATTTTTTATTGGTATAACTTTAGTGTTACAGATTTTACTATTGCATACAGTTTTATTAATACTGTAATGACGTATATGCCATTTTAATTGATCTAAATTACTATTAAAAAATTGGCGTCAATTGTTCTCTTGAAAAAATCATTTGCTTACTTGAATCCATCATCTATATTTATAAATCATAAACGTTCAAATGGTGTACCTAATTTTTCTTTTTTAGCTTAACTTTTATATTTAAACAATTCTTTCCGTAGAAACTTTTTTTATTAAAACATTCGTTCAACAGCTTCACGTACAACTTTGTTTTGTTTCTGCTTAAAAACAGAAATATTCCTTTTTCTATAAAGAAAAATTAGCACTATTCACATTGCAATGGTCCTTATATGTACTTAAGAATTACATAAAAAAAAGGAAGAAACTAACGGTTTAAAATTATTGTAACCAATGTGGTATGATGCATGTCAAAAGGTAAAAGGTTATTCTTGATCTTGTTGTTCCTTATCTTTTTTCTTTTTCTTCTTTTTCTCTTTTTTCACCTCCTGTGAATAAAAAATGTAATACTAACAAAGGTTCCATAAAGCAAAGTGAAAAATTAAAGTAACTGTACAATTGTAGTCGAATTAAGACGGATGAACGTCTAGACATTTTGGTAACAACGGCGGCTGACACCTTCAGTGGTTATTACGCTCCGGTGTAGCGGACGAAGGTTGTACCTAAAAGTCTCAACAACGATTGATAGTGAATCAACTCGTTCATTTCGACCTCGGCCATATGTCTAATCTTAATTATACAACAGTAATTCTGTAAGTTTTATCAATTCACATGCGATATTATTTACAGGTTTATATTCCTTAAAGTTATTGTAATACCTAATCATTATGTCTTTTATTCATTTGACTTCATCTATAAATTTGAATGTGGCATTTCTGTTGCGAAATTAAAAACTTCTATATTGCCTATTAAGCTATTAACTTACAATTTCCGAAGAAACTGGATCTTCTACAGTGGTAGTGCTTTCTGTTGTGGCGTTTTCTTCGTCCGTTTTCTTACGTTTTTTCTTCTTTTTCTTCTCTTTTTGAACTTCGGACGTCGATCCTTCGCCTGCCACCGAAGTATCCATGCTTTCAGCCGTTGTATCCAAATTAGCAGCTTTTCTCTTATAAACAAAACAAAATACGTTGCACTAAATTTTCCTAAAAATAACTACTTTATTCAGATACCTTTTTGCTATGGTCTTCATCTACTTCTTGTTTAATTTGTACTGCTTCGCTAGGCTCCTTTTTCACACTATAATAAAATTGTACTGATAAAAACAAAATAAATAATCTCGTGGTAGAATATTATATTCCTTAATAATAATAATATTTTTAACATTGAAATGAAAATGTAAAACCGCGTAAAAAAAGTATTTTTTAAATTGAAAAGAGAAAGTACTGATTACTCACGCGTAATCAACGTAACTATTGAGCCATTCCTTCGGTGTGTTCTCGTTGGGTTTGCCGTATTTGTCTAATAACCCTTGTGCAACCAACGACCTCTTTTGGCTGGCCCGCGGCCCAAGTCCCCATCGACGGGGGTACGTGTCTCGTTCCATAATTACTCGCTTTATTTTTGCTACGACACCATGGTCACAACTAGCAATAGTTGCTGTTGTCATGAGTGCGACGGCAAGCGCTACCGCTTCACCTTTCGTCGTTACAATAACAATGTCTTCATTTAATTCTATGTTGTCTTCATAGCGTAAAATTCCTGGTAAAAGGATCTTGGCCCCATAACACACGGCATTCACCTAAATAAAATACTCATTTACCTATTTTTCAAAAAAAAAAAATCAAAATATCCAATTTTATAAATATGTACTTTATGACCATTTAAAGCAAAAACTTCATTAAATAGTAAACGAACAGAACCAGTTTTATTAATTAAAACCTAGAATAAAACAGG